CAGAGGCCCTCATCTCAGGCGGCATGGCTGCCCCAGTGCTCTGGACTTAGTCACCCTCACAGGTATTGAATCCATTCCCACTTGTCAACCTGTGACAGGGTGGGGGTTGAGCCCTTTTCACATGCTCATTTGTCATGGGTATTTCCTCCTGGGCAAGATCTCTTAAGATCTCTGGCCTATTTTGTAATATTGCTGAAAAGCAATGTTGATGGGGCTATCTCTATCTTGCTCCTGCCCCTAGCAAGAAAGCATTTAGTTCCTCACCATGAACTATGAGCAACGAACCCCCTCTTTATCCCTATTTGTCCAGTTTTCATAATGAATTGATTGGTCTTGGACTTGTCAAGTGCTTTTCTTGTGTGTACTGATATCACCATACTGTTTTTCTTTCTTACTCTGTTGATGTGATAAAATTATTGATGTGATTTTCTACTGTCAATCGGGCTTTTCACACCTGGGATGTCCCACTTTCTCATGGAGTATAATATCTCATACATTGCTGGGCTCCATATGCAGTTATCTTCATAAAGATTTTTGAATCCCTGTTCATAAAATGGTTGTCTCTTGTTCTCCTTATGTTTATCTGGCAGGTAGCTGTCCATTAAGTCATTTTATACCTAAGAATGGTCCTCCAGCTATTAGCAAGAAGGAGGTAGGGGATTTCAGAACCTACGAAATCAGTTGTGTTTTGTTTTTGATTTTTTTTTAAAGACAGATATAACAAAAACCTCCCTGTATCTTCTGAAAGAAATGGCACTTAATCTGTTCCTTGAGTATGTAGAATTTATGTAAAAATTAGATTTTCTGAAGGAAATTGGATGATGACTGAAGACAGTGGAACAAAAAGGCCAGATTTTTCACCATTTCACTTTTCAATTTCACTCAGTATGTTTCAAATCACAACAAAACAACATCAATAAATAGTTTTAAATTTTCTGCTTGAATGCTACACAATCACAGGATGGAATCATCAAGTACTTTAGCTTTCTGAAACTTAATCACAAACCCAGTTTTCTGAACTCACAAGTTTGTATTTTAAAGTAAGGAACTATGATTCAGTCTATTGTGCTTTCAATGAAGGCTGAAAGTGCATCAAACATGTGTCTCTGTCACTTAACATAGTACTGTTTTCTAACCAAGAAGAGGGTTCCAGGTTTCAGGTGAAGCTATTTCCTACATATAAAGACCTGAAGCAATGCCAGCTCCCAGAGGGGCTTCTGAGGCTTTGACAGCTAGCCATTTTGCTTTCCCCACTGTGGGCTGGTCAGCGCCTCTTATTGATACCTGTACTGACTACTTTAATCTAATCTGTCTATTCTAATGCGATCTTATCGTACTTTCAGCATCATATCTTTATGACTCAATTTCCATGCAGGATGCCAAACTCTACCTCTGCAGCAACCATAACACCCAAAGGAGACTGGCTCAGAAAGGGGCAGGCAGGTGTTCATCTGCAGCACACAGAACAAAATTCAAGTTTCTTCCTCCAAGTTGGTCAGGGCCTCCCACTATTTCTAAATTAGTGTTAAGGTAATGTGCTAATTTGAGACTCTTTACAAATGAAAGTATTTTCAATTATTTAAAAACACTGTTCTATTAGAAATGGGAAGGTGACCTAGTATCCAGTCTCATTAGCATATTCATTAATAATTACATGACTAGATAGTATCTCTGTACTCTGTAATTCTGCTCTACATGCCAGGATCTCTCTGCTTGAGGTACTTTCCTACTCCATTGATTTGCTAATAAATGAACCCCTTTAACATGCAAAAGATGTACATTCCACTATCTCCTAAGACCACTAAGAGATGTTGGTAGTGAAAGCAAGTCTTTTAAAGGAATCTTAAAACCCTTACATTTGATTGCCATTCATTAACATATTCATTCAAAACAAAACACACTGTGACTCACCATTCACCTCATTACTGGTACGGAAACAGGTCTCCTGAGAAAATGTCCTCTGTCCTACATACATTACCTCCTATGGATATCCTCAGAACTCAATATCCACAGAAGAAAAGTGTCCTTGCATAACACAAGGAAGGAAGCACTACACACAAATAGCGATAAAATGTACAAAAACAAAACAATGCCTTTAAATTTTTTCCTACCTTCTATATGGAATGATGGCAAGCATGGCAGATAAGACCACATTATAAAATCTACTCAGATCTAGAGAGATGTCTAAGTGGTTAAAAGTGCTTTATCCTCACCCATGAAGACCAGAGTCCCAATCCCAGCACCCCACCCTACGCCCATGACTGCCTTCCCACAAGCCAGTCTTGGTTACCCATGTTCTTAATAACCCCAGTTTGATAAGGGACAAAGGCAGGAAGATCAGTATGGTTTTCTGGGTACCAGCCTAGCTGAAAACATAAACTCTCCAAGTTCACAGTGACCCTGCCTCAAAGGATAAGACAAAGAACAGAGAATGCCTGACACCCTCTGGCCTTCCCTTGGTGCATGCCCCACCACACACACACACATGAAGCTGGGCAGAAGATAACTCTATTTCCTTTTCTCACATAGTACCAGAGCCTCATCTTAAACAGTGAAGCATGTATTAGCAGATCTTAAGTATCTGAGGCTCAATAACAGAAACAGCCACCTCTAAAAGCTGGGCACTTTCCACAAGAGGCTCCTCTTTAAATATACTGACTTTTATTTAAGTCAATAGTTCTCAACCACATCAGCTTCTATGTAGCCCTTCTGCAAAACACTTTCCAATTTCTACTCTACTACTCTGAAATGAAACGGATAATCTTCCTACAGACAAGTTCAAACAAACCCATCTATCCTAAATAAAATAATAAATGGAAAAGGGAAATAAAAATAGGTTATTAGAAAAGCATGTCAACATATGAGGGCTTTGACAAAATAACTAGTAACTAGACATGGCTGCATAGCAAACCTGCTTATAATGCAATGTTCTAAAACTATAAGCAATTTCTAATCAAGCTGTGAACAGAATAAGCCTTCCTTTGATTTATACAACAGGAATGTAAAGAAACAGATACAAGGAAATTCAGTCTTGGTTAAAACTATTACTTTATAAAGTGGAAATTTCAGGCTCAGATAATTAACAAATGTTACAGGCATGTCAAGCATGATATTCCTAAGCCATGAAGGACAGAGGAACATTCTTTGTTCAGCATATCCAGCACACTGCAAAAAGTACAGCATCCCAGCCCCCATCCACAACATGTTAGTAGTTAATCCCAATTACAAACCACTAAGGAGGAGGGAGAAAGCTTGCTAATTTCCCCCCAGAGAGCAACCTCCCTGGACCAACTAGCTCCCACCCAATTTAAGTATGAATCACAATACTGGAGTTCAGCTGTGTTACCTATGAACTATGTGATCACTGGCTAATGAGTTAAGTTCTCTAAACCTCGGTTTCCATGGTATCAAAGAGAATCAACACTCCAGGGCTGTCTGGAGTGTCGGGATGACTCAACAACCCTGTAGCAGCACAGGGTTTACAACCCGTGGCTTTTTGAAATAGGAGCAAGGGGACTGTGTCCTGCAAACAATAACAAAGGGTACTGGTGCAGAAAAGGCACTAAAAGAAACAAAATGAGTAAGAGTTAGAGACATCCAGAAATTTAAGGGATATGGCCCAGAAGGGGGAAAAAAATGCACATGTCAGAAAAATCAAGGTCAGAAAGGTATAGAGTGGGGAATAAAGCATTCAAGAAAAAAAAAAAATCAGTCAAAAGCATGAAAACACGCTTGGTTCAGAGAGTAGGGGAAAGGCATACTGAGGGTCAGAAATGAAGGCTGTAAAGACATTACAGGACCAGTGCCCATGTATGGATACGAAGGACACTTGAGTGTCCCAAAAAACTGGGACTTAGATGACTCCCCGATAACGCTGAATAATGGCCAAACTAAATAATTCAGAACCAACAAAAATTATCATTGCAGCCGCGGAAGTAAAAGCATATATCCTTAATGTAGATAAACAGAAAGGACTAAAGAACAGAAAGTAGCTTGAGTTCTTTTCTCCCTGGTTCTGGGGGATGGAATCCGGCAGGCCTCAGCCTCCAGGGATCACCAGGCCGTCACCATCACGCTCGCCTTTTCCTTTCTTTAATAACCAGAACTCTCCTTAATTTATAGGAACGCGGGATAACCTATCCCTGTCCCTTGATACCATTCCAGGCAAATCCGAGCCTTTCCTAAACACATTAATTAGCAATACCTTACATCACCCTTGAAAAACAGGAGGTAAGCTAGAGTATTATTAGCCTCTTTTTATTATGGGGAAACAGGGGAACAAAAAGATTAAATTACAGTATGTCACAAAATGAGCCATCATATTTTCTAGTACTTTAATTAAAGGCACCGAGCCCACATTACAGACTTCCCAGCTTTAGGAGAACTTTTACGACTGCTTCAACCAGGGGACTAAGAGAAAAACACCTACAAGTAACTCAAAGGTCATTTTCCCAAATTGGTACTAGTCACCCAAATTCGGGAGTTTAAAATTTTAGACAGGGTAAGCAGCAATCTACCCCCCTTCTACACACACATACACACCGAATTGGGGGGAGGGGGGTTAAGGACTCTTGTAAACAGCATCCCGAGTCCACATTTTACTCAGGCTATGTGGCAGGCAATACAGGAGTCGGCTGATACCGACAGAAAAGGTGTCCCAGGGGTCCCGGCGCGGCCTCGCCATCACCGCATGCCCATCACTCCAAACATGACCCCAAACGCTCTCCCTTGGCCCCTGCATTGCACCACGAGCCTCGCGGTCCCAACCCAGACCTGCGCTAGGCCCCGGCTGCCGGGCTTCCTTGAGCGCCGGAGGCGCACCTAGCCAGGCACTTCCCCATCCCTGTTCCCCCGCGCCCGGGCTCGGCTCCCACGCGTTCTCACCGCCTAACCGGCGTCCCTCGACGCAGGGAAGCGAGGTCGCCGCGCAGGTCGGTGGAGCTCAGCACCCGTCGGGGTCCCGGAGCCGCCGCCTATCAGCGGAGCGCAGGGGCGGGGCCGGCTGGGCCGCGGGGCCGCGGGCGGGGGCGGGCGGGGGACCGGGAGCCGGGCGGCTCCGGGCGCCGCGCGCACACACCGGGCCGGCTCCCGAGGGCTCCAGCGCGGCCCCGGGGAGCGCGAGCGGGGAGCGCGCGGCCTGCGGTCAGCGGCCGGAAAGATGGTGTCCTGGATGATCTCCCGAGCCGTAGTGTAAGTGCGGGAGGGGTGGGGAGGCGCTCGGGGCCCGGTGGCGGGGCCGAGCACGACGGGCCGCGCGGCCTGCTCACCCGTGTCCGAGGCGCTGCGGGGCTCCGGGGCGGCGGCGCTAGGAGCAGGGAGCGGGCGGGTGGGCGGCGGGATCTGCTCCCGTGGAGCGGCTCCCTGGCGCGCGGCGGGCTCTGCCCGGCTTCTCCTCCGCTCCTCGGGCTCGTCGGCTGCGCGACGGGCGCTGCTCGGCTCCTCCTCGGCTTCTCGGCTCCTCCGCTGGCCAGCGGTGCGCGCGGCGAGCTCTGCTCGGCTCCGCGGCGCGCTCCCGGCTGCGGCTCCCGCTCCCGCGGCCCGCGCTGCGCGGCACCGCCCTGCGCAGGCTCCGCCGACGCTGAGCGCGGGAGGCCGGCGGGGCTCCGGATGCGCCCGAGCCTCTTTGTCACCAGGTCCACCGCGTTGCGGTGTCTGTGTCCCCGGTGGCCGTGCGCCCCGGCGGTCACGTGTAAGAGGAGCAGAGATCGCTGTTAGTGCCCTGAGTGCGGAGCCCTGCTCAGGGGGCCCCGGGTAGACAGCTAACCCAGGAAGGAGCCTGGGCTGGAAAGGTCGGCCAAACCCTACTCGGGCCCAGTTTGGGATGGAGGAGGCGCAGGTGCCTATCCCCTTTGTTCACATCTTTTCACTTTATTGTGATACAGCAAGAACTGCGGGTCGGAAAGGCGACGGGGGGGGGGGGAGTTGTGTTGTTTAATCTGCAAAAGTATTTGAATACGAGTTAAACCGGTTCTTTCCCCATCTTCCACCTTAGCCCTGTCCACACTAAAAGAAAGTCACCAAATAAACTCAAGTAATTTAGGTTGAGCCTGGGGACGGGGATTCATTATTCATGTAGGAGTAATGTCATCCGAGTACCTTAATGAAATGTTTATATGAGGTAACAGGCCTCGCTTATGATTTGAAGGTAGAAAATAACATTACTTGGGCTTTTTTTTTTTTTTTTTTTTTTTTTTTTCCTTTTCTACGGAGGAGCCAAATTTTCTACCTTGGTTTTATTTCATTTGGCAGTAAAGTAGGTAACCTAATTTGCAATGCATTCAAAATCTGTCATTTTATAACACGCCTCAAGCTTTAAAGTCTCCAAACTTCTTGTTTTCATCTTAAAACCCAAAATAAATAAAGTTATGCCACAGATGCCTGCAAATTGTTTTATAGCCTTTTCCAGGACAAGTTTGGGGTTTCCATACAATCCAGGCATATGTTTTGCTAAGAAAGTATAGTTCATTATATTACACTACCAGAAATCTCTCAGCTATTTTGACCAAGCTCTGAAATTAAATGCCCCATTAAAAAGCTGTATTTGTTTTTTTTTGTTTTGTTTTGTTTTGTTTTGTTTTGTTTTTTTGTTTTGTTTTGTTTTATCTCTTCTACCACTGGCACTGATGGAAAATTGTGGAACAGCTAGCTTGGTGAGTTAGCATTCACCGAAGGCTTTTTTTAATTTCTTATTATTGAAAGGGAATATATTCCTAGTGCTGCCGCCAACACAAAGGTCAGTACCATGTAGGAGATCTGAATGGAACAGACATTTCACATTCATAGATATCTACTGTGCAGGTCAGAATGTCAAGTCTTATGAGGGTTATACCCAGTGTAATACCCAGTGTTAGACAAGGAAGAGAGAGATTATATGTGGTTGGGGAGTCATCAAAGTAGGCAAGAGAGATTACATTCAAAATAGGCCTTAAAGGACAAACCTCATCTAGATGGCCAAAGAGGAAGAAGGAAAAAGATTTCTGATAGGTGGATTGTTGTGAGCCAGAGCCCAGGTAGATTACAGACTGATTTAAAAGGAGCAGGAAGAGAAAGTGCCACCATTGTGAAGCGTTGGTAATCCCAGTGAGTTTGAGTAGAGACAGTGGAGGAGGGTTCCTTACTAAAGAAAGTATGCACACCTGCATTGTCAACCAATGGAATTTAAGGTCTGTGGTGAAGAAGAAAAGGGTTATTAAAAGGGGTGTTAAGAGTAAAGAAACGCATTTCCTGAGCTCTAGACCCAGCACAATAGAAGCACACTTGTCAGAGAACAGAGTATTCTATGTGCTCTTGAGTTTGCCTATAAACATGAAAACAGTCCTGTTATACACACAGACCTAGGTACATGTTCCAGATCATGAAGTAGAGTGTATTTATGTACGTCCTTCCTAGCCTACAGAAACAACCAGCTGGTCCTAAAGAAAATATGGCGGTTTTCTTAGCATGAACCTATAGTACCACCACTAAGGAACAAAGGATGTATTTATTGTTTTGGGGTGTGTTGTTCCTTTGTTAATGATAAGTTGTAGGTTATAAGATAAAGTTGGAGAAGGGGTGCAGGTGCTGTCACGATGGGGGTCCCAAGGTAAGGGGGCCTAGTGGGAGAGCATAGTAGGTTCCATAGCAGTCGAGAGTGACCCAGGAGGAGGAAATAACAGACAGCTTGAGTGAGAAGTTAGGGAGTGAGGGGGGGAGGGAAAAGAGGCATAAGAGACACTGGGAACAGAAGAGAAGGATGGTGAGGGAGAGAGAGAGGAGCCAGAAAGAGCAAAGAAAGCAAAGAGATTGTAAGTAAGTGGGCAGGGTCTGTCTTTTAAAGGGGTCCTTTGCACCTTCTTTCAGACTACAAAACCATAGAACCCTGGGCTGACCGGGGTACTGTTTGAGTGCATTCTGACAGGTAACAGGGGCAGGCCAGCATAATGCCTGAGTTCTTACAGGGTGATCTTGGGAGTATGTGTCAAAGGACAACCTGCAGGAGTTGGTCCTTTTCCTTCTTTCATGTGAGTTTCAGTGATTGAACTAGGCACTTAGGCTTGGCAGTTCTTTTATCCCCTTGCTGGTCGTATATGTATGTGTGAGTGCCTGGATGTATGCTTGTACACTGTGTGAATGAATGCCTGGCACCCTCGGCGGCCAGAAGTTGTTGGATCCCCTGGAACAGGAGTTAGAGGCAGTTGTGAGCTGCCATGTGGGTACTAGAAAACCAGCCCGAGTCCTGTGCAAGAGCAGCAAGCAAGTCCTCTTCCTGGCTGAGTCACCTCTCCATCCCTTCCTTATGCCAGGTTTTCTTACCCTCGATACTATTGATGTTTTGGATTAAACGTGTCCTTATTATAATGGTGCTGTGCATTATGGGGTATTTAGAAGAACTCCTGGCCTCTCCTCACTAGGTCCAGTGTCATCACACACACCCCTTCCCCAGTCCTAAGAGCCCCAAACATGTCTAGATAATGCTCTATGCCTGCCACCCCATATGCAAAAGTGACATTAGAGCCTCTAGACTAGGTAAAAAGGCAAGGAAAAGCTGTGAAGGCCAGTGTGGTCATGTGTGGCTATCTAATTGTGGATCAATTAAGTAAATTCCAAAATTCAGGTCCTCAGTCTCGATAGCCACATTTCAAGTACTCAGTGGCTGCCTTACTGGGCAGTGCAAAACTAGAACTTTCTCTTATTACAGAAAGTCCCATTAACTATAGAAAATATGGCCATTTGCATAGCACATCCATCCAGAGCTGGCTAGGTTGTTTCCTGTTTGTTGTTATGTGTGTCCTTATGGAAGACACTGGAATTTCTACAATGATGTTGGGAAATTCACTAGGATAGAACTTTCCCCTGAATTCTTTGTGGAAAACATGATTGCTAACCAAGCTGTGTTGTGTCTTGTTTTGTTTTGTTTTTTTCTTTATGCTATTTCAGTAGTTATTTCTATTGCAGTCATTTAGAGACTTCTTCAGGAAAAATAAAACTACTGTATTCTTTAAAAATCCTCTCATATTGTAGTATTCCGAGTATCACTCCATCATCTTGTGAGTTTCTGATGACACAGCAGAGCTGTGGAGTTATGATACATGAAACTGGGAGGGCAGCTCAGAGACAGAGCTTTCTTCTTTGAGGTTTGTATGTTGCTTGGCTTTAGTAGGTGTGTTATTTGTTTGTTTAAGACAATGTCTTCCTGTGTTACTCAGTCTGGCCTTGAACTCAAGATCTTCAGTGTCCTGAGAGATGGGGTTACAGTTGTGAGCCACCATAATTGGAAGAAGTCAAGGGTTTGACTAGTCCAGGCTCTGGGTCTGATCCCCAGCACCATACACACATGAGAAGATATTAGGGTTATGTGTTAGTTTCTTTTTTATTGCTATGATAAGACACCATGACCAAGCATTATGGTTCTAGAGGGTTAGAGTCCATGATGGTTGAGCAAAGGTGTGGCAGCAGGACCAGCTGAGAGCTCATATCTCTAACCTTAAGGAGGATGCAGAGTGCACAGGGGATGACAGGATGCTTGTGAGACACTCAAGGCATTGCCTCCTAGTCCTTCCCAAACAGTTCTACCAGCCAGATACCAAGTATTCAAGCATATGAGCCTAAAGTGGGTGGGGGGCATTTTCATTCAAACTACCATTGAATAGAAATATGAAGCCAGCCAGTGGTAACACAACAGCTTTAATCCCAACACAGGGAAGCAGAGGCAGGTAAATCTCTATGGGTTTGAGGCCAGCCTGGTAAACACAACTAGTCCCAGGACAGCCAGAGCTACACAGAGAAACCATGTCAAACACACACATACATACACACACACACACACACACACACACACACACACACACACACACACACACGAAGCAACCAGTGTCAGCAACATGGTAAAACCAGGGCTAGCAAGGAAATAAGTGAAAGTCATAAGAAAAATCTAGATACAGGTTTGTGCTTACCAGTAATTGAGAAAGTAATTTCAGGAAGTGTTCAGATAGCCTCATTCAGAGGGCATTGATGTTTTCAGGTAATGGAAATAATTATTTGCATACATAAGTAAAATCAATCATTCTGCTGTGGACAGCTTTATTAAGCTTTTATCCTGTCACATTTCTGGGAAGTGTGGTCTGATCGCATTGATAACAGTAGAGTACCACAAACTAGGTCACTTCACAAGTCTGAGATCAGGGTGACAACAGATTGGCTCCTGAGGGCTG